TGGGCTTTCTGGGGATCTCATCCAAGATAAAAACTGCCGTCCACGGCTCACAGCAACTCGGTGATTGTTTCTATCTCTCACTCGCCCTTCCAGCGATCCAGCGCTTCATCGGTCAAGCCCCTGGCCAATGCAGTTCGGGTTCGGGGGGAACCACCCATCAGTGACATCAAGGGGTGTCTTGCCCGGGTACCCAAGTCCTATTTGTACCGCCAGTCCAGACTCAATCGTTCAGGTTGGTCCAAGCCGCTGACTCGTGAGATTAGTAGAGCATTCATTATTGGAACAATCGAACAATCAACCCGAGACGCAACAAAGAACCTGAAAAATCCCCGCAGATACCCGCAGCCTCTGGAGCGGCCCGCGCCTGGTTTGGGTCGGCTCAACTGCTATTGACTCGTACCCGGCTCTAGTAGGTGGGAGATCTGGAACGGAATCTGGAACCTTATCGCTGTAGCTTCAGTGGCGCCCGCCAGTTCCCAGGGGAAAATCCAGCATCCATCACTCCCGCTGTAAGTGCCGCCCACTCAGGGCCGGGGACAGCGGCCAGATGATGCCGCTCTTCTCCACCAGACTCGACTTCCTCGATGCTGGAACCATGAACAGTCAACCATCGCCCGGCCAGACAGACGAGGAACCGCCCATCAACATCCGCATCAGCACGAGCCCTCCCATCAGCATCCCCTTCCATCTGCGGCAACGGCCCCGATTCTACGAGACATATGCGTACGAGCCGCCGCAGCACCACGATGACCCCCTCGATGTCCCGTCTCTCCTCCAGCCTCCCCAGGCGAACTATCAGACGTATCAATCGATGATGCGGCTTGATCCCTCGTCGTCCATCGTCACATCCATGCCGACAGACTCCCTCTTCGCCCATACGACCCCCGTGCAAGACCTCGGCGACGTTGTGCAGTTCAACCAGGAGAGGGCAAATGCCGTCCAGAGGAGAAACGAGGCGTCGCAGATCCAGTGGCTCAACACCTCGTTTGACTGGGAAGGCGACGTCTTGACAAGCCAGGGGCTGCCCCTTGGTCGGCATTCTCATGTCCATGTCTCAAGCCTGGATGTCTGTCCGGAGGAGACCTTTTCTGCCGATACGCGGCTTTTTACCGACCAGTTGAGTGACAGCCTTGGCGAGTCGCCATGGCAGGCCAACGGATACTATCCGGGCAACACACACGAGCATTTGGATCACAGTACCCTAGCCCTTCAGGATGGCCATCATAGGCATGCCGCCGGCCTTGCTTCGGAACTGCGACTGCACGGACGAACAGGCGGCTCCAACAGTCAACAAGGGTTTGCGGCGGAAGCCGGCGTGGAGCAGATGGTGAGGACTCTAGATTCGGTGTTCACCCGCATATCCATGGCGCCGGACGCCACCGGACCCCATGACGCACATCGCACCTTTATGTGCCCCTATGCCATGAGATACCCAAGCCGCGTAAGCTACAGCTGCTTCCAGAGGCTCAATACAATCCCCTACGTGAAGCAGCATCTGAGACACAACCACCATGACGCCATCCGATGTCCCCATCGGTGCCAGAATCGAAGACAAGGGCCCAGACCTCCGCGAAGCCGGCCCATCGCCGGCCTCTCTTTTGGCGCAGACATGTGTCTCCAGATTAACAAGCAGCGGAGTGACCGGTCCAAGACGCACAAGGAGCAGTATGAGCGCATCTACCAGATCCTGTTCCCCGGTGCGGATCGCATCTCCGACCCCTACATTGGGAATTCGACGGTCAGGTGGCTCAGGGGTCTCTTCAAGTTCATGGAGACCCACGGCACTGATTGTCTGGCCCCCGTCTATGCGCAGCTTCCAGGCACGATATCAT